ACCGTCGGATGGTCCACACGCCTCGGCCACCCTGTCACCCAACCCCACTTCTGTCACTGTAGTCGGCTCACTACCGGTCCTCCCGCTCGTCCTCACAATCGGCAGCCGCAGTTATCCGGTGTGCACTGACAGCATCGCCGTCATGCAACAGTTGCCGAACTACGACGAGTTCTTCGGCAGCGCCAGCTTTGCAGACGATAATGATCGTATGGCGTACGCTGCTTACGACTCGTTCACCGTCACCGGTACCATCACCACCAAGACAGAAGGTCGAACAACGTTCATCACGGCTCTGCAGGAATGACTCCTTCTTGCGTGTTCATCCACTTGCGCTGCCGTCCGCTGCACGTCGTCCAACTTTGCTATGGCTTGCACCTGTCCCCTCCCTTCACTTCCATCTAGCCGCCCCTGGATGGCATTAAATGCCAGCGTTGAGCGGCTGTCTAGCCGCGCAACGACACGCTTGCAGGGCTGGGTGCATTCCGTGCACTTGTGGGTTCGACTCCCACACAAGTTGGCGGCGTCCCTCGCATCTACACTGGTGAGTGTATGAACGGTATGACCGGTTTCGCTGGTATAAGTTAGGGTGTTGACGCACGAATGCTGTACCGGTTTGACATTCGTGCGTGTCTCATTCGTATCCACCTCTTGCCGCTTCCCCGCTCTCCCTGAAGCATGCTCTGCTGTGCGTGTCCCACTCGCGTATATGATGGTTGGACATAACGAATTGCCCCGATTACCGGGCTTGTCTTCACCCGACCTTTGCGCTGTCGTGCAGGTTTGCATGTGTTGAAGCTGCTGCTCCGGCAAGCCTTCGTGCTGTTCTCTTCACTGTCCTCCGTTAGGCGCGGTAAGTGTGCATTATGACGCAACGCACATATGTGCGTGCGGCACGTTAGTGCTTGTCCGTCGCACGAGAACGTGCCAGCAAGTGTACGACATACGTTGTTTTGCATGACCTCGTTTTGTGTCGGTTTTCGTTTTTATTTACGTACATCCTTTACTACGACATAGCGACTCGCCGTTGTGACGGCGTCCACGCATACGTGTGCACGATGTCCGCGGAATCACGTCATGTTAACATGTGTACGACAACTTTGGTGTCGTTTCTTTTTATGCACGCGCAAACTATTTTATGTCAGTTCTCCTTGTACATGTTTTGTGTAGAACTGTTTATTTTAGATGTATGTATATTGCGTGTCAAAGCAAGTGCTTAACGGCCGCGATAATTAGTCTGTATTACCGGTGTTCATCTTGCTGCTTATTATTTCTCTTGCTTTTTCGACATAGCGAGTTTTCGCGATATCCGGCCCTGCTTCTGCACAACCGTCACGCGTCGTCGCTGCAATGCGTTGCATATTTGCGTGTATCGTGGTTCCTGGTGCCGAGCATTTCCATGCCGCGCTTTTCCTGCGAGGTCTCCATCGCGCGCGCTAAGTGTGCGATGAGTTGGCGTCCATATGTGTCGGCGCATCAGATGAGGTGCGATGCGATGCACTGCCCGCACAGTCTTGTGTCTGGATTATAAATACACGCCCTCCTGTCACTCCGTGTTATATGATTGCACCCACGCTATTCCGTCTGACCGTCTGACTGTCTGTCATTCCTTCCG